ATACGGTCGATTGTATACGGGTTTAACATGGAGTAAATAAATATGATATCGCGGAGTACCGCACCCAGGACATGTATAGGCGGGTATTGCACAAGCTACAGGCACAGCATCTCACGGGTGATAGAATGGCGTTGAAATTCGATTGAAATGAACGTCCGCAGAAACTTTGTCTCATTCACTTCATATCCTGCAAAGTCATTGATGCACTAAAACATAATGCCTGTTTGTCTGGCGGGCTACAGATACTAGTCATAGTACTCCCAACAACTGAGGCCGATGTTGCTCTCTACATAAGTAGACTGCCCGCTTCTTCCGTAGTGGAGCGAATCTTCTAATAATGCTGGTGTCTCAGAAGTGTGCTAACTCCAAGTCGCGGTCCATAGGCGAATGCTTCTACTATATTGTAACCACTAAACTATAGACGCCCATAGCTGACCTCATTATAAAAGGTGATATATGTAACGAACTTGCTTTTTCGCCGACAGAGACGGCTTATATCGCGGGGCTTGAGTTCGGCGGCAGCCGAGTATAGTATCGGGAACAGGACGAACTACTGGATTAATGGAATCCACCACGCCTAAAGGTCAGCAAGACCGACAACGCCCAACACGTACACGGTGTTTCACACCGGCGTAATGCGGCCGGAGCTTTTATTTACACTGTTGACCTCAGGCGCAGCCGGACAATGATAGTAACAACATGGCCGCCCGCTACATCACACCGTTAACTTTGCTGCCTAAAGTGCCCGTAATACGGCGAGTGAGGATGTAGGCCGTGCTTTAGCTAATTCGGCCACACGCCTTAACATGCGTTGGCTAGCAGGGCGGAGCCCAGCAGCGTCGAGATCAGTGGGAGGATGAAGCTTTCATTTGCTACTGCTCACCAGGCGGCGTGTTCTCCTCGTTCTTGGCGTCTAGTCGTGCTCCCGTAGTCAGGAAAGACGGCGAGCAAGGCGCGCGCGCATCCCCTCGTCCCTGACGTGGGTGTCCGCCTCACGCGGCCCCCCGTGTTGCTCGCCGTTCGTCAGGAACTGATCGGGCAGGTCGCCCCCCGCCAGTGGTGCGGCACTTCTACGGTGTCCTGCCCCCGCTGGTCGTGTCGCTGTCGATCAGCTCCTCTCGAACCTGCCATGCCTCCTGCCTGCCACACCCTACCCCCCATGCGCTGCACACTAGACCAGCGCGTTCCCGGCGCACCACGCCCTCACTCCCACCAGCAGCGCTCACCCGAAGCTCCACCCCCCCCCGGCACCAGCAGCTGAGGCGGCGCGTCCCGCGAGCTTCCCTGACTGAGCCAAACCGCCCTAGCCTCGCTGCCTCGGCCTGCTCTTAGTCGAGCTAGGAACCGCACGCTTATATTGACACCACCGCTGCGGACTCACGGCGTCACGGTCAGTATCATTGTCGACGCCCCACGTGTGAGCTGCAGCGCCTGGTCGCGCTCAAAGTGGCCTTGCAGCCATGGCTTACTCCATATCGAATCTGGCCTGCTTAGCTCACGCTGGCTCCTACAGCCCGGTTTCGTTTTCGAGATCTTGAGCAATGATCCTTGACGCACACGATGCGCGCTAGGCTCTACGCATGTCTGCTCACGGCGGATCGCAGATGTATCACTCTGCACTGCCTTCTTCTCTTTCGAGTTTCTGCCTGGCAGAACTTTCGACCATGACGAAACGGAGCGGAAGACCGCGAAGGTCAGATCCTAGTGGGTGCGTTTCCACCAAATAAGGGTAGCGCTCGATATGACGGCTCAGGTGCAAGAAAGGCGATCAGGTCGCCACGTTCTTCTCGTTCGGCGTTTTCTTCTAGCGATAATCCTTACACGCGGTGATCACCTGACACCTGCTATGGTGCAACGCGCCGGCAGCTTGATCGGAGCCCATCTGCCTGTCGATCAATCCAGCAATATCAACGTGGGCGTAGCATACGAACGGGGAAGGCGTTTGACTCTCGCCCGTGCCTCGTTAGAAGCTCGTCACCTCGCCAGTGTTGCTGTTGTCTTGTGGCTAAACTGATTCTAATGCTTCCCGCGCGGCCGCAAAACTACAGTACGTTCATGACATCGGTGGTCTCTCTCTCTCTCTCTCTCTCTCTCTCTCTCTCTCTCTCTCTCTCACACACACACACACACACACCTTTTCCCTCTTAATAAGGTTATAATATGCAGATTGCGCATTATGAAACGAATTGGTTCAATACTTTACCAATCGCGTGAAACTACTTATTCGCTATAAACCACGACAAACATAATTATTACCCTTAGTTCTACATCATCATCCTGCTCCTCCTCCTCCTCCTCCTCCTCCTCCTCCTCTTTCCACTCTTTTTTCTCCTCCTCCTCCTTCTCCGCTTCCTCCTCTTCGTCCTCCTCCTCCTCCTCCTTCTCATGCACACTTCCAAATCTCCGTCTTGTTACTACCGTATATCCTTATACACCAATAAGACTAAAGATGAATTCCTCTATACCATGCAAGGCAGTATAGGAGCAGCAGAGGACATATGCGAGAACCCCCTATTCAACCCAGCCTCCCAGATATAGCATATCCAACCCCATAACTTACCATAAGTGCCATCACCAGAAAGTGGGTAGCACTGGCTGGCAGCAAATGTCCGCATGCCATTTCTTTCCGATACCCACGCTCAACAGCGACGAAAATAAATATATATTCTGTCCTTGAAGATATCCCGAGTGTTCGCTCCAAGAACAAAGAGTGTCAAACCACCTGCAGTTTCTCTACGAGGTGTCACACGAGCTACAACACATCGGAATACGGCGGTGTTGCGTATTATTTCAGAGATTGAAGAGGATATTGCTCGATGTAACGCAGCACACAGTACACACACGCGCGTGCGATCTCCTTCACTGCTAGTGGTAAGTCAATGAATTCGTCATCGAACTCATAGGAGCGATTCACTGTTCAGACGTCGTCGTTGTTGTTCTGCGCAGCATTACGCCAGCATGACTCGACCGTACTGTCACGAGCATGCAGTGTATACAGCAAACTCGATTGTACGTCGATGCTATATTAGTACACGTATATTAGTGCAGGTATATTAGTGCAGGTATATTAGTGCACGTATATTAGTGCACGTGTATTAGCGCACGTACAACAAACATAACACGTGTATTTATATATATGTTCTCTGGTTCACACCGTACGCCTGACTAACTTTCGCCAAGCCTCACGTGAAACACTCCAGCGATGAGCTGTAAGTGGGCATTGACACACTGTCTCTATCTTGGTTCAAAGTCGAGCGTGCGTAATGTCTAATATCGTACGTAGGCCTACGTGTGACCAGCGTGATATACCGCATCGCGGTGTATGCTGGTACCTACTGTGCTATACTAGCAACTACATAGCGCAGAGAGAGGCAGCTTGCGTTCTCCTCGGTCCCATCTCGCTCTCTCTATCTTTCTCTCTTTCTTTCTTTCGTTCTCTTTCCCCTCTATCACTCTCTTGCTTCCCCTCTTCCACTATCTCCTTCCTATCTCTAGCTCGCTCGATTGCCCGCTCCATCTCTCTATCTCTCACTCTCTCTCTCCTCTTTATTAAATGGCGAATATTTAGGCATTGTTTGTTGCATGCGTTGTTATCTAGCTTCATATTTAGCAGGAGTAGATAATAGGGAATAGTTCCCTATTATCTACTCCTGATATTTAGTGTATACTCGATTCCAATATCAGTCTATCGTTGTTCGATTATTTGTTCGTTGTTTGTTTGTTATCGTGCCCTGCATTGAAACCAAATAACACGAATACTGAGGCCCGTTGCTAGAAACAAAATTACTCTTAACATTAGATTTAACATTAATCTTTTTTAATCGCCCGATAAAAGAAATGTGGTAGAGTTTCTTATAGGCTGTTTCTGACAACGGGGCCCTGCACTTTACTTCGCTGCTGAAAAATTCGCGTATATCGTATCCAATAGGTGGCGCTACGGGTCCATAGCTTTGTCACACCTTATCCACTGGGTAATTAGCATTAATAATTATCATATAAATACTAGGGAAATTATATAATTACGAGTAATAAAAAATAAATACGAGTAATATAATATAAATACTAGTTAAATTATATAACTATTGTAATGCGTCATACGTAGTAATAAGAACATATACATATTATTAATATGACATGAATACTAAAATTATATAAATTATAGTAGGCCTAATATGATATTAAAACCACTAACACGACACACATACTAGTAATACGACATAACTATTACAAATAATATTATAATACAATTACTAGTAATACTAGTAACGTGGTTCACGGCCCAGGCGTCGGGTTTGGGTTAGACTTTGGCTTAGGGTTTGGGATAGTGTTAGTATTAGTGTTAGGGTTATATTAGGGTTATGATTAGGGTGAAGGTTAGAGTTATGATTAGGGTTAGGGTTAGGGGTAGAGTTAGAGTCAAAGTTAGTTAGGGTTAGGTTTATGATTAGGGTTATAGGGTTAGGGTTAGGGTTAGGGGTAGAGTTAGAGTCAAAGTTAGTTAGGGTTAGGGTTATGATTAGGGTGATAGGGTTAGGGTTAGGGTTAGGGGTAGAGTTGGAGTCAAA